AACCTCCCCCGCTTTTCTAAACGACGGGCCTGTTCCTCTTGTCCGCCCCGCAGCTGCTCTTCCAAACGACGGACCTGTTCCTCTTGTTCGCTCTGCAGCTGCTCTTTCAACTGACGGACCTGTTCCTCCTGTCGGCGAGCCTGTTCCTCCTGTTGGAGAGCCTGTTCCTCCTGTTGGCGAGCCTGCTCTTGCAGCATCACCATCAGAGCACCTAAGTCAGGTGCTGCAGATGTAGGAGCTACTGACGGGCCTGCAGCCGGTGGCTGGCCCTCCGACGTCTGCGGCGTTGCACCACCAAATCTTCTTTGGTCAGTCTCCTGCTGGCGTTGATTTCGGGTACGAACACCCTCCGTTTCCTCCTTAGGTAAAATCGGCATGATTTTATCCCACTTCTGACACCAATTGTTACGAGCTTAGGGTTCGTGACAATAAAAACTGCCGATTGAATTACCAAAATTCACACTTTTATTACAGAACACCAATTAAAACTTAAAAGACACTAATAATTAATCACACTGATTCACTTTATTTCGCTCCGAAGCTTCGCTTGTCTCGCCAAATTCAATACTGCCCCGATCGCGGCTATCAACGGCTTTATATAGGGCTCTTCCACGAAAACATCCAGAATATTCCAGTGAATACGGGCGCTGACCAACCAGACGCAGAAAGTTCGAGTGTGGGGCTTCTAGAAAGCTTAATTCTTCTGTTCGATACTAGATGGCGCTGTTGATCGAAAGTCAAGATTGACATTTTCTAGGAAGCCCTCCTCGCTCTGGTCCCCGACACTAGATGGCGCTAGTGCCAGGTACCTGACGTCAACTTAGGCGCGCAACACTATTTTCGTACAATGAAGATATTTGCCAATTCGTGTACTTTAGGTGTTGGGTATGTATAAGGAAGATGTAATATTAGTTTTAATATAGATCTTTAAGCTCGCTCGGCCTCTATAAGATATGTTTTGGGAGCTCCACTCCATGAGCAAATGCAATTATTTATGAGACAATGACAAAGGGTTATATGTCTGAATTAGCAGATTTTATTAGATCTATCTACATTAGATATATGAGGTTGCCAATTTAAAATTTTGTTGAGGATTACTCCAAGGTATTTTATCGTAGATGTTCGTCCAAATATTGTACATTTACGTCTCTCTTTTTTTTTTGGGATGTAATATGCGGGTACGTATGCGTAGTGACAGAAAAACTTTGTGGTGGTTTTAAGATTATGGTTTTATAAAAGCAGATATATTTTGCATTTAAATAATGAATTTTGTAACCGTACCTTACGCACATCACAATGCTGCACAGAATCCAATCTGTACCATAAAAGAGGATTACAGTTTCGTCCGTAAACATAAAAAGGTCCGCACTACGGATTTAATTCAATTTTACATAATTTATTTATATACATCAACGAAAGTGTTGGTCCGAGAATGCTACCTTGCGGTACACCATAGGTACCTTCGGATTTATAGCTTAGCTCGTCGTCAACACGTATTATTTGCGTTCTGCTTATAAGATAGTTACAAAACCATGCATGTGGCATACCTCAACCAGTAATTTTTATCTGAATATTTTAAAAGGTAGCCAATCCTTTGAAGTGAGCGGAAGACACATGACCCGCTCTGCGGCTAGTAGCCGTGCTGATCATGCAATCGGTGGTGATGCCATACACTTAAATCACATATCACGTATGTAGGAACGGTGGTCTGGCAGGTGGTTGGGCTCACGGAGGGTTTATGGCCAGTGTGCCTATTTGCCTAAACCGTGTGACGTACATTAATTTGCAAATTGTATGTGGTTTTATTATCTCTGCATTGGTAAGAGCACTCCGCGTTACCGATACTCAGTAATGCGGAGGAAATAAAACCACATACAATTTTCAAATAATTTTTTTTTCATTAAAATTATTTTTTTTTAAATGTGTTTTTTTTTTAATTTCTATACACTTGGATACTAATTCTGACAACACACTTAACGGGAACCACAGGGTTTTGTTACATATTGTACATATATATATATATATATATATATATATATATATATATATATATATATATATATATATATATTTGCCACTTCAGCTTACTAATCCGCTGGGATATGTCAGTCACTCTGGTTTTACTGCGGATATCCTCATTTCTGAGTGTATCACGCAGATAAACTCCAAGCATAGCCCTCTCCATAGCTCGCTGAGTGACCTTGAGAATCCTCATAAGGCCAGCAGTGAAGGACCACGTCTCAGATCCGTAAGTCATCACTAGCAGCACGCACTGGTTGTACACTTTAGTTTTCAGAGATTGAGGTATACCTGACGAGAAGATGTGTCGTAATTTCCCGAACGCTGCCCAGCCGAGTTGAATCCGTCGATTGACCTCTCGGTCGAAGTTGGACTTACCTATTCGGACTAATAGTCCGACTATACGACTAACGTACGACTAACGAAGTTGTTTAAACTATCTACCTATTTCTTCCGAACCAAGCGTTGCGATTTCCGACGAATGACCTTGCAATTTGCATGCGTTAGGCATCGCAGAACTCACATAGGGGCGAAAGTATGGTCAGTCGATCATAGTCAGAATAGGTACTTCACCTAAGTAACATAATTAACATTTCGCAATGTATTTTTTTTTCCTTTCTATTGACATCCCTTAATAACCACGGAAAGTCCGCCGATTAATAATAATAGGCTATTTAACGTCGGCAAGCAGTCGACATCAAAGGAGTGCTACTTCTGTACGTAGTACTATTATTTATTCTGTGATAGTGCTCCCAACAACTACCGGCATAGGTGTGACATGTACAATAAACATGATCTTTGTTTTGTCCATGTTCATCTCAAGACCTATCCGTTGGGAGAAACCATTGAGGTCATTGAGCATAGTGCTAAGGTCCTCCAGCGATTCTGCCATAAGGACTATATCGTCGGCAAATCGAAGGTGAGTGATGTACTCGCCATTGACATTAATACCGTATCATTTCCAGTCCAGTAGCTTGAAAACGTCTTCCAACGCAGCGGTGAAGAGTTTCGGGGATATAACGTCACCCTGTCTTACACCTCTCTCTGCAGTTGTATATATATATATATATATATATATATTGTAAGCCTTTCCCAATCGGGAAGGGATCATTAAAAATTAATTAATAATGTAAACCTTTAAAGACCTGTCTTCGTGATTGGGGTTCACTTAGCTTACAAGGCACTAGCAACAGCTTTCATTTGCCCTAGTGAATATTCATTCTTCCAAAAAACACCTTAAAGAACTAAGTTCCTAAGCAAACACCACGTAAATAAGAGTCCTAAGATGATCACGCAAAAAATATTATAAACGGCCTATTACTAAACCATTTGGAAATATTATTTAGAAAGTTATATTTTATTTATCCTGGTCAAATAAAAATATAATTTTTAATGTAAAGTGGAAATATATAAAAATATAATAAGATAGGGGGAGCGTTACACTATGAATTGTTATATCAAGTGATGATATATACTTGCTTTGAATTGCAAAAACTTGTTGATCTGTATGTACAGATAGCTCTGGTAGTCAGTACTAGCACATTGCCATCATCAACTATTAGTTCGTATGATGTGACGCTTATGTTACCGTATGCTACCACACCGTCGTTCTGGTTAATGAAACGTTTAGTACAGTATGATGCGTAGGTATCTATTTCCATTATGAAATCATGTTTTAACCAACATTTAGTAAAAACTTCAATGTCTACATTAATATTGATTAAAACTACTTTTACGGATTTTATCACGTTTATTTATGTTATTTTTAATACCCGACGTTTCGGATGCTTTCCAGCACCCATGGTCACGGGGGACTCTACATACTCACACGTACACTACAACACATTGAAAGCACGTAAATATAAGAAATCTACATTATTATTCAATTGTGACATGAAAACTAGAAATTCGTCTAAATTACAGTTAAGACTTCTTGTATTAACACAAAATTCACAAAAAGAGGGCAAGTTTTTATCACTTTTTTAAGAGTTTTTCGTAATTTTTAAAGGGAAGTGATATGAACTGCGTCTGCACAACTAAACGGTGCACGATGGGTATTGTATATATGTATATTAAATGTATACTTCATTACAGACGAATTCAAAACATTTACGAATTGCTGGTCTGAAAATACGCCCTATCCTATATTTAACCTTGTCGTATTTCGCAATATTACAGGGAGCACTGTTACATTAGGTGTAGCAAATTCTCCTCCTCTGCCAAGGTGTCTAGATATGTAACACCCTCTTACCTCTTTCCGTCACCAAATAGCTGTGCCTGTACCGCTGTATTCAGGTCTTGAGGTCATAGAGAGCTATTATAATTGCAGGTTGTGAGGCATTTCATCATGGTTTTCAGGTTTTGAGGTATACCTGACGAGAAGATGTGTCGTAATTTCCCAAACACTGCCCAGCCGAGTTGAATCCGTCGATTGATCTCTCGGTTGAAGTTGGACTTACCTATTCGGAATATTTGTCCCAGGTAAACATACTCGTCAACAATTTCGAGCTTAGTGCTCCCAACATCTACCGACATAGGTGTGACATTGACATTAAAAATGATTAACCCACAATTTATAAATTCATAAAACATGGGCTGCAAGTTACCTTTTTTGCTTCATTTTTATAAAAAAGCAAGCCTCTGTGTTATGGCACACATACATTTTTATATATGGAATTGTTTCCTGCGGGGTTACTAGCTTGTTTATAGAACAAGAATGACAAACGAGCACAAAGTCCAATTTGATGCTGTGGCCAATAAACATCTACGTCTTTTCTCGATATACAATGATGTGTTGCCTGAGGCAATCGCGCACCCCTGAGGATACGAAGCACGCCAGCTTTATTGGGATTTATAGACTTATTCGGCGTTATTATGCTGCAGCTATAATATAGCTGCAGCCTTTGGTTGAACCAGTTTTGAGGTTTAGTGAGAACAAAGGACAGCAATTGATGTTTATATAAAAAATAAAACAAACTTACTTGAATAAGTACTCAGTAATTTCACGGTCGAAGTATTGGTCACTTTTATCTTGGGATTGAAAAGATAAACCTATCGCTAAGCCATCATAGCCATCATTTTCCTCAAGTATTGATGGCTTGTTCATCCAATCACTTAATCTTATGGACTGGTACGGAAATCGACTCTCTTTGAATAGTCTGCAATTAAAAATAATAGCGTAATTATCATAAGGTCTTTTAAATATTTCTAAAATACCTAAAAACCTATATTTGATAGTATGGTCCTTGAATCAAATCAATGTACATGATGTGTGTATTGTATGTAAGTATGTATGTACGCACATATATGTGTACGTATGTACCGCTATGTGCAATATTATATAGTTTTGATCAATTTCCACTAGATAGGTACATACTTACGTATACCGTTTGAGCGAATGGTTAATAACATATATTAATAATGTTGCTTTAGAAGCTGTTAATTGACTAACGATCTTATTCGTTAAAATTCCATCTATCCCTCAATCCTTTCCTCTTCAAAGGTCTACGGCTGTACATGGGGCTCTTCCATATATTGCTTTATGGGGGAGGGATATTTGTAAATGTTGCCACGATAAGCAGCCGGTTGGCAACTGCAGTTTTTTATTATTTTAGTCGTTGTCAAGAAGATGTTGCTGTCCATCTCCCGTTTTATTTCCCTCAGTTGCTTCTTACGACACCCACGGTATGATAAAATGCATAAAATATATATAAATTCATAAAACGATTGTTAGCAATAAGGTGGCCTTCCATCATAGATTCCTCAGGACAGTTTAGTAATTATATGAACATCGCTTTGATTATATGACAGGTACATAATCAAAGGAACATCGTCACTTCATGAAGTAAAATTGTAATTTAAAATTCAATGACATGTTATAGTACTCTTTGAATGTACAAACTCATTAACGATATAAATGATTCTGTATCTCAAGTTATCATCTCACCTATCCTATTCCACCTATCATATTTATATTGTACGTCCGAATTGTTGTAACTACACTCTGTATTTGTAATATGTAGACAAGGTTATGGTATCTTATCATACCTCTCTAGTTAGTTAACCGTGTTAAAACTCGTTATACCAGGGGTACACCAGGTACCAAGCGTTGACAGAAGGGGTTTCATCCACAAATTGAACAGTTGAGAACACGATTTTTCTGTTGTTGTACTTATAAATAAATGAATTTTCAAAATAAATTCTAACTACTTAGTGTCTCAAAAAGAAATCTTTTCTTTTTCGAAAGCTTACTGCGTGTCTATCTACTGCCTATCTTTAATATAAAGATATAAAAATGTACTCGAACGAGTTATGAGTGAGTGTTCAAAAAATAAAATAAAGAACAAGCTTGTTATAAAAATGTACATGAAATAAAATAAAAATTACCTTAATTGACCACGTATCAACGTATGGAAATATCTAAAGGCAGCTGTCGCGGACTCTTTGAGCACTCCTGCTTTTACATTTGGATTGTAATCATTAACATAATCCTTTGCGTTTGGATATATAAGTTTATTCTTTACCATATTGTCCTCACCTAAGAAATGCATGTTGAAATGTTAAATGTATTATTAGGCAACATAATTTTTGGTTTTCAAAAACACATTTAACTATTTATGTATATAGTCATATTATTGGGAATTGTTGAACGTATCATGAATACATAATATGTACTAACCTAGATATATTGGCAGGTGCTCATAGTAATGAATTTGTTGAATAATTCCCATAAGAATTTTCCGTGCTGTTTGGTAAATCGTTTCATCGTCCCAATGTTTGTTTATGTCAGCCAATGTATCAGCAATACGATTGTGTTCTTTAAGTAAAATCACTTGTAGAACAGTTAGTTGAGGATTTTGATTTACTCTTGCATCACCTGTTTACAACTATTTCGGTTAAGTAAACTGCAGGTTAAATATTATTATTCATATTATATTACTTTAAAATAAATAAAGAGTTTTTTACAGATAATATAAAAATGAAGATCTGAAAAGCACGTAAAATTGTTGTTTAATGTAAACTCTGCTTAAGTTTAGCAATTGTTATAACTATAAACTATGGTACCAGCAACGTAGCATGGTTCATCAGCGGTGGTTGCGCCGGAACAGGTCTGCAAAGCATTTGCAGCTTGTGGTGGCCATGTTCCGCAATTACGTTTATTCACTTTTAAGCGGCCCCCCTCGGCCTTCACGCAATGAGTCAGCTTGTTTCTTACTACTACCATATGTCAAAGACAGATCTAAGTAGGACGTGACTTCATTTATCTGAAAGAAAAAATTGCATAAAGAAATGTTAGTTTTTGGATTAGTAGATGGTAGAGCCACGTTGCATCTATATTATGGAGATCCAGGAGGGATCCAGGATTTCATTCACATGAAAGAAAAAATGCGAAAAGAAATAATATTTTTGATTAAATTAGTTAAAAAAGGTTCAAAATATTCTATAATCGAAATATTTAAATTAAGTTCTGAGTAAACTATTATGTATTATAAAATTGTAACACATCCAAAACGACGTAACCTATTAATCTGTAAATAATAACTATCGGTATTTTTAACCTGTAAAATTAATACTTAAATAAAGAAGCTTGATTTGTTTTATCAATTACAGCTACAATAAGAACTATACGTTATATAAAATATTAATCAGTTTATGTCTGCCGCATAGTTAGGAAATATGCCTGAAAGTCTAATGGTTTGTGAATATTTATTCAGTTAGTACGATTATACTGGTTCTGCCAGACCTAAAATAATTGTCTGTGTAATAATTGTGTGACAAGGTGGGGCCGCAAAATTAATAGACCTTATTTTGCTTACAATTACTAAGAGTCATAACTACCAATATACATATTACGTAGAAAAGCAATATTTCTGTGAAAAGACAAATTGAAATTATTTATATTATAAATAGAACCAAAAAAGAACTTTTTTAAAGTAGGAAAATAAATCATATCTTTAACAGCGTCTGGGATAATGTCGCCATTTTGGAACATAGAATTCTATGACTACTGGTCATACTTTGCATACAACAATAAATTGTAAATAATAACTTTATGAACAATGCAATAATCGATGTATTTATCTGTATATAAATGTGTATGCAAAACAATGTTTAGCATAATATACAAAATAAATGTTTCAGTTCACTAAAACAAAATAAAACTAATAAATAAATTAACAATATAAGTTGCCCCACCTTTTTTTCCTAGTTTGGCAACTTCCTATGTATTCTGCCAGCGTCAAGTTTCATGAAGGTCACACAGAGTATTCGACTAGTTTCCGTTTCTGTTGAAATGCTTACTTAGCTTTACGATAAGAATACATAGGTAGTTATTTTCGTATGAATTAACATATAATGGTTTTACAAAATTATTGCTAATATAATAAATAATAAAATGGATATAGGTAAAGTAGTTTAATTTTATTAATGGGTATTAAGTCTAGTAAAGTTTGTACACAAGGAGTGTAAACTAAATTTAACAAAGACTAAAGATTCATGTGACGAGGGATGTTATTGGGAAGGAAATTGTATAGTGAAACGGAGAGGTTAGGGCAGTTAAAAAAATTATGATCAATGGTAACTTTGTCTAATCCACACTCACAAATTGAGCTAGCTTTAATCTTAAGCTTTTCTAAAAAAACATGTCAACAAGTGTGTCCCAATTTAATTCTACATATGACAGATGTACTATGTTTGGAGCCATTTCTGAATTTAAAAAACCTTAGTTTGAAGGGGACGGCAGGTTAGAGTTCTGCATAATATTTACCGATATACTTCTTAGATTTTTTCCAAGGAGAGTTCCAATCAATACATCTGATGGATTTTCACAAGAGAAATAAGGTCATGATCATGAGTATATGTTATATGATGTATGACGATACCGGAAGTAGATGCTTGTTTTGCTATGGAATCGACACTTCGTTGTCACATATGTCACTATGACTTGGCAGCAAAGCAAGTTTCAAGTTAATACCTTAACAAAAACATCTATACGGTGCATCTTTTATTTTAAAAATAATTGGGAATTTTGATTTAATTCGAAACGGGTTAGATGAAATGCTTTGTAATGAACTATATGAGTCGGTAAAAACAATACATTTGTTAATTTTGTGCGCTTCTATAAATAAAATTGCTTCTAAAATAACAACAGCTTCACCGGTAAAATTGAAGTAGAGTTTGAATTTTTAAAATTTAAAATAATTTTATATTTCGTTGTCCAGACAGCTGAACCTACAACAAAACTTTTATCAGAAAGCTTAGAGGCATCAGTAAAAAGGGTTAACCACCCTTCCCATTTTTCGCGTAAAATACTTAAAAAAATTTGCTGGACTACGGGGTAGTTTTTAGTTACACCAAAATCTAAAATAACTGGAGGATGATAATGTTGCGTGAATAAGTCAACGTCATACACTAGCGCCATCTAGTGTCAGGAACGAGAGCGAGGGGAGCTTTGCAGAAAATGACATCACAAATCTTTCAACCGACAGCGCCATCCGAAGAACTAAGTTTCTAGAAAATCTACACTCGAACACTCGTCGCTTTGCGCGCATTTACTTGAATATTCCGGATGCTTCATTGCTAATTTGTATATATAGGCGCTGCAAGATGCGATCGGAGTAGTATTGGATTTGGCGAGACAAGCGAAGCTTCGGAGCGGAATAAAGTGAATTAGTGTGTTTAATTATTAGTGTTTTAAGTTTTAATTTGTGTAAAGTAAATTAAAGTGTTAATTTAGGTAATTTTATCGGCAATTTTTATTGTCACGAACCCCAAGCTCGTAACAATTCGTGTCAGAAGTGGGATAAAATCATGCCGATTTTATCAAAGGAGGAATCGGAGGGTGTCCGTACCCGAAGTCAACGCCAGCAGGAGACGGACCAGAGGAGATTTGGTGGTGCAACGCCGCAGACGTTGGAAGGCCAGCCACCGGCTGCAGGCCCGTCGGTAGCTCCTACATCTGCAGCACCTGACTTAGGTGCTCTGATGGTGATGCTGCAGGAGCAGGCTCGCCGACAGGAGGAGCAGGTCCGTCAGTTGAAAGAGCAGCTGCGGGGCGGACAGGAGGAACAGGCCCGCCGACAGGAAGACCAGGTTCGTCGTTTGGAGGAGCAGCTGCGGGGCGGACAAGAGGAACAGGCCCGTCGACAGGAGGAGCAGGCCCGTCGGTCGGAAGAGCAGATGCTCCTCATTAAGGACCTTCATGCTACCTTTAGGAAAGAGATAAAGGAGGTGAAGGATAGGGTTGCTCAACATGACAACCGCCTGTCGGAAGCTGAAACCCAAATCAAGGATGCTAAAACCCAAATCGACCAAGTGAACAATCGGGTTGACTACGTGGTGGCTGGCGTGAAGAAAACGCTGGACGACCTCAAACTGGGTGATGCAACTACAGCTCCCGTAGTAGCTACTACACCTTCGCTACGTGGGTTCAAAGTGCCACCGTTCGACGGGACTTCTTCTTGGTCAGCCTACAAAATCCAGTTCGAGGCTGTTATGAAGGCGAACGGCTGGAATAAAAGTCAGGCCATGACTGCTCTCACACTAGGCCTGCGCGACCAGGCCTTAACTGTTCTGGAGGCTCTCGGTGAGAAAGTGACTTATGAGCAACTCCTTGAGGCATTGGAGGCGAGATATGGCGACGCTCACCTGGAACACGTCTTTCGTGCGGATCTTAAAGATCGTGTGCAGCGCATCAACGAAAACCTGCAGCAGTGGGCTCTAGAAGTGGAGAAGCTGGTGCGAAAAGCATACCGGTCTGTACCTGCGCTCATTGAAGGGAAGCTGGTGCAGACATTCATCGACGGCATCCGCGACCTGGAAGTCAGAGCTGCTGTGAGGCTCGGGCACCACGAGACGCTTAAGGACGCCTTGGCCCATGCACTGGAAGTGGAAGCCGTGCGGCAGGATCATCGTTCCCATCGCGTCAGGGAGGTTGCAGCAGCTACAGTTCGCGACCGCAACAAAAGATACAGGCCAAGATGCTATGGCTGTGAGGAAAAGGGCCATCTTCGATCCAGCTGCCCTAAGCGAACCCTAGAAAGGGAAGGTGAACGATCTCAGGAGGGTAGTGCGGCCAACAGCACCGCCCAGCAGCAGCAGGGAAACGAGTAAAAGCCAGAACTGCGGGGCGGGTGCTGGCTGATGTTAAAAGAGCCCCAAGGACCTCGATCTCACAAACCCATGATGGGAACAGTCTAATCATCAAGGGCGAGGTCAACGGAATGCCGTGTAAACTGACCATAGACACTGGAGCCTCTCGTACGGTTGTTAGTTCCTAACTTATAAGTCAGTTCCTTGGGGACTCCGCATACAACCGAGAACGCATTAATTTGGTAACAGCCACCGGTCAGCGTATACCCGTCCGTGGAGAGAAGGAGATGGAGTTGAAGCTAGGCAACATGATCTACCTGCATAATGTCATCGTGGCTGATATAATGGACGACTGCATCCTAGGCCTAGACTTTATGAGGAATAATTGTTGTGAGATCGACGTTAAGCAAGGTGTTTTGAAATGTGGACAGGAGGAACTTTTTATGGAAGGTGCGTTACCAGGGAACGTGTACAGCATTAAGAAGATTGTTCTTTCGCCGAGATCGGAAACGATTGTTCCGGTTAGTCTTCCTCGAAACACTGGGCAAGCTCACCGTTGTGTACTTGTGGAAAGGGTAAACAATGACCTTCCATGGAAAGTAGCTCGAACATTGGTCAGGACCACTGACATCTCAGGAGTACGTGTGCTGAAACCGGGAACAGATTATAGAAAAAGGCACACTGATTGGTACTTGTGAGGAAGTGGATTGGTTACGTCGGTGCCAATATATATCGAGTGGGACCCCCAGCAAGGATGCAGAAACGAGAGTGACCACACTTTTGGAAGACTGTCGCAGTGTTCTCTCCCCGAACGAATTGGTCAAGGCGAAGAAGTTGTTACTCAAGTACGCCGATGTATTCTCATCAAACGATGCTGACATAGGAAAGACTGGCTTAGTTCAACACAAAATAAACACAGGAGAAGAATTGCCTATCCGTCAGCGGCTAAGAAGATTGCCGGTAGCACGTGAAAAGGAAGTGGAAACCATGATTGAAGGAATGGTGAAGGATGGTGTTATTGAACCTTCCTCTAGTCCATGGTGTTGACCAGTGGTGCTGGTGAAGAAGAAGGATGGCAGCATGCGGTTTTGTGTTGACTACCGCCGTCTGAACGACGTTACGTAGAAGGACAGCTATCCCTTGCCAAGAATTGATGACACGCTGGACATGCTTA